TCGCTTGGTATACGATGTACCATATAATTAGAGAGTCAGACCGGTGGTGAGGTCCATCCCTCTCTAACCCTTCTGCCCTTCCTCCCTTCTTCTTCTCTTCAAACTTGAAGCTTCCTCGCGGACGTTGGAAACATTGGCCTGCCTTGGCCATCGGAACGACAAAAATCGGAGAGGCCCCTCGTCAATGGTGGAGCAATTAGAGATCGTTTCGTTCTAAGAACAAGTTACGGAACACCTCACGCATTCTAGCAAATCAACTTTAATGGATTGACTATTGAAACTGCTTAATTGTTATAGCCTGGAGTTTTCTAATTAGTTTTGATTTATTACATTTCCAAAAATGTTACTTTGTTCACTAATGTGCTATAATTATCCTATTGTCCTCTTTATTTTCTCAGGTGTAATTCCTGACGTATTCTTATGAATTACTATTTCACTGCTTGTGCCTTTTAATATACTTAAGGGATTTGCGTACTTAAGTGGGCTGACGCTATCGGTAAGAGAACATTATTTAAGCGGGCTCTATGGTTACGTACCAGGTTTCGGCAGACCTGGGCAAGGATTTAGGGTTTTAAAGGCGCCGGCGATCGTGGTAGCACCTGTTGCGGCGAAGCGAATTGTCAGTCCGGAAGAAAGCGGGACCTCAGCCTGCGTGTCATCTTACAGACCGATATTTCTTTGACGCGGACTCAACCCACCAGGAAGCTCCGTACGCAACCTGCATTGTTAGCGCAAATAAGCCCTATCGGGGAAATCCTTATGTCGGAGAATGTATCGGGAATTCGAGACCTCTCACAGAGACTTCGCGAAGCCTCTCGCTTGTAAAGCAGAAACTGAAACGAGCGATCAATCCCTTGAGAATTCCAGCAACAACGAAAACTCGTAACAACGTAATTTCGTAATGAACAGATCAGGCTTTCCGTTTCTTTTCCTTTGTCGTTGCAATGCTGAATGCAAGTTGTGTTAGCTTTCTGAAGGTGTTGGATAAATGGAATCTGGAGAAGTGTAGGCGAAGATGAGGTATATTTTTATTGCCACTCAGCAGCAGTTTCGAACTCACTCAAGTTCCTTATACAACAAGTTCATCGCCGAGATTAAGGGAGCTTTACGCACGACTAACTCGTTCGTAGTTAATGCAAAGGTACCGCGAGTCGGAAAGGGCGCGACATCGGGTCGTAGATAAGGGATGCGGCACTAGAGGGGAGGCTGGGAATAAAAAGTGACGACTGTCGGGAGCAGCGCGAGCTTTGAGATATTCCGGGTATGATCCGGCTTATTTATTCCCGCGATTTCTCGAGATGTTACGTGGCGGACGCGGAGGATCGAGGGTGGATGCATCTCTTGCACTTTCCGCGGGTAGACTTAGCGAGACTGGAATTTTAATTAAGCTTTTCTGCCGCCTGGCTGAATCTCGGTTCCGGCAGAACGCTGGACCCTGCGGCAACGGAAGGGATCTACCGGGTGTCGTTGGCCCATTGCCCTATAGTGGAATTGCTTTCGAAAGCAGCCGCTCAAAATTCCCGATGCGTCCTGACGCGTTTCATTAAAGAATCGATCGAACTTCACTTCGAGGTTTGAATACGAAGATATTTAACTGCATGTTAAAGGGTCGTCGGGAAAAATGGCGTCGAGTGAAATCCCCGTTAAAGGTGGGACGACAGAGATTTCGAGCACGTTTCCTGTAACAGAAGTTTGGTTTCCATACAACGCTCGATTATAGAAGCGTCTATCGTTAAATAACTAATTGCATACCTCAATTGTATACGGAACAATTATTACCAATAGCAAAACTATCCAAACTGAGTTACAATGACGATATCTGATTTTTCCAACCAGAATGTATCCATAGTAACGCCGCGCCAATTGATTTCTGGTTGTCACAACCAGGTCACACGCGATTACATTGATGTAGTTGATGTACCAAAATAATAAATCAATCATATACTTTTCACATAAAGATAAGGGTGATGCAACTATACTACTCATAATGCAATATTTCTTATTACATGCACCATATCTTTCTTTTCCGTATATATGTTCAATTGGGACATATTGAACGCTATCACATCACGGGCGGTGCGTTCGCGACACTCTATGTGCACGTAAACTGCAATCCAAAGGAATATAAAACCACGAAATCTGCCGAGCTATCGGGTGATCTCTGAATTAGCTAGGGGCGCTCCAGATGTCACGATGGCCGATCATCGAAATCTCTCGCGATAAACGGCCCGCAGTGTCGATCCATTATGAACACCCACAATGTGAGAGCTAACCGCAGAGCTAACGGGGCGCAACACGAGCATCACGCGCGCATTATGACGGAAACAAAAAGAACAGGCGTGCGTGAGGCGTGCTCGAAAGTGTCCGGCGTGCGTGCGCGCGTACGCGCACATACACACGCGCGCGCGCGCGCACGCACACGATGATGATGACGTGCCGATGTTACGTTGCTATTACTTAGCATCACCCCACCGGTCGGCCAAGATGCTGACCGTTCGACGCGGGACCGCGTAGGTCACGAGAAGGTTCTGGATGATACCTCCGGGATCCGCGAAAACAGCCGGACGCACCTCTGAGCGTGGGAACATTTTTTCGAGAGAGACCGTTGCGTTTATCAGTCTACTAAATTTTTATTAAGCCTACAGTAAATGTATAACAAATTTAAGTTAACGTGAAATGTAACACTGCTGAAAAGGGTGTGCGCTCTTGTCGACAAAACTTTAAATAATTTTCATTTTCTTTATTATACGAAATGCGCAAGAGAAAACACACGTTTCTCCAAATAATGAGTTCTCCTTTCTACATAAACAGTAGTGATAATGATCGTTCTCAACACTGACAATGTTTATCGTCCTTATTAAAAAAGAATTCGTACAGATTGGAGGATTAAGGACACTGCACGGTCCTTGCAACGCACGCGAGGGTGTAGACATCCTCCTCCCCGAACAACATAACGCTCAAGAACAGGAGAAAGAGAGAGAAAGAGAGGGCGCGGGATGATAAACGAGCCGATACGTTCCCACGCGCTTTTGCAGACGCGGGCGAGGGAGTCTGTGAGGCCTGTCTTCCCCTCCTACACCCCGTACGTAGTGGGCGGTTGTGAGGCCTCGGGGGCCCAACTGGACCCCTAATCACAGACTCGCCCGCACTCGTACGCAGAACATACGCGTCCCTCTTAAACGCGCGCACCGGCTAAGGCCGAGTTATACGAACGCTCTTAAATGCACGTTGTTGAACTTGCTCTCTCTCGCTCTCCATCTCTTTCTCTCTTCTTTCGCCTTATTTCTCCATATACCTGCATAAGGTGTATCAAAAGTCCTGCGCACATTCTTGTCGGGCTATCGATGGCGCCGGGCCGACGAAATTCTTCTGTGAGAGCCTCGATTTCGAGTTCGAAAAAGAAGAGAGGCGATATAAGAACGAGAAGCGGATATTTAGATCAGATTTCAGTTCACATGTGGAGGTTGATTTATGCGCGAACGCATCCGGATCTATCGACAATAAGGTTTATGGGCGATTAAGCGCGATTAATTACAACTTGACGTGTTTGCGTGCCGGGCGATCATTGGCGCTACCGGTACTGGCTTGTCGCGATTCTTTCGTCGCCAAATCGACCGGCGTGTTATTGTTAATTAATGTCCCGTCTCCTCTTTACATTTTCGCGATACTACACCCGCGGCATCTGGCTCGTTCTTGGAAATTACGAAGCAGATCTCGCGGATTACCTTCGCCGCGCAAGATCAATGCACTCCAATACACCGTAAACGAGATATAAATAAACCATAAGTGGAAACTTCACAGGCTGAGCTCCGGAACTCTCTTGATAAAGATACATCTAGAAGTAACAGATATTTCTACAGATATCAACATTCTTAATTTGCATTTAATTTAAAAAAAAAATCATTTTCACGTGCTGTTTTATTAATCTCGTAATATTTCTTTTGCAAACCGATGCTCGTAAGAGAATTACTAAATAAATAAAAAATTTAACAATTTTCACACGTTTATGCAACCAACAGTATTATTTCAATCTTTCACGATTTAGCGGCAAACATTTACTCATCTTTAACTCATATGGTGAATTGAGCAGTAAAAGAAAGGAAAAAATTGACCGAATAAGAGAGAAATGATTGAAATTGACGTTGAAAAAAGTAGTGAATAAGCTGTGCGGAATTTTGAAGAGCAGGCTGTTGAAATGAGTGGAGCATTATTAAAACGCGCGTTTCATTCAGCCGTGGTATGCAGAAATCTATATCTCGATCAGAACATCAGTGGCGTCACGAAAATGCGCGATAATCGTGGCGATGGTAACAACCGGTGGTTTGCGGTATCGTTATTGTGTCATTGTTGGCCGGCACTCTAAAATGGAAATGGTCGTGCTGTTAAATGGTGCCATCGTCTCCTATAATCCCTGGCGATCCTCTATAAACTCAATGCACACGCGATACCATTTCAACCGATCCGTAAATATAAGTCTCCTCCTGAATATTAAACTTGACCTCCGCCGAACATTTTTATCCGGCAGCTTCGAGATATCAGGAGACGCGATAGCATCTCGGGTCAAGTATATATGTAATAATACATCAGCCTTCAGATTACCAAACTTATACCAAAACTTAATCTATGACAAATAATTGGTTCTAAACTTTGATCACGTTTTTGTTAATAGCAGTTACACTTATATTCTAAATTATACATTGTTAGATATCGCGATCTTGAAATCATTAATTTAAGCGACTCGAGATACGCTTGGAAGTTCGTATAACTATTTCTATGCATCACAGAATTTACCACTCAGCGACTCTTAACCAGTACATTGAGCCATATGATTCCAAGCAGTTACCATATACTCTCGTCGTGACATTAAGGAAACGTTTTCCTCCTCTTCTATCGTTTCTCATCATCAACGATAATTTTCGAGCCATCAAAAGACTAAACTTTCTATTTTCTATAGTATTCTTTCGATTTTTTTAATACCTCTTCTCCCTGCTAACATTCAGGCCGCCGGGGTACCAGAGATGTGCGATTTTCTGTCGTCACAGCAGCACGGGATGGATAATATAATATCAACGATAGGATCTGCAGCTGAATAAGAGGACTCTGAAGACTTCCCTGTTCGATATCTCGTTTAAACGAACGGATACCTAACACTACGTGGCACTTGGTCCGGGAAAACAACAGCCTGCTTTGAGTACCGTGTACCACCTAGGCGAGAATATCGGAGCCATCACGAGACCAAGATCGATCTTGAAGAGTGGTAGGATCGTTTGCCGAGGATGTCTCGCGTGACCAAGTGCGAGCCTGCCGAAGAAAGTTGCGAAGCTGCACGAGGAGGCAATCAGCTGATCGATCTTCGGCGCGTGATCGATAGTTGCGACGTGATCATGTGGATCGACGTGCGAGTGCACCTTAAACGAGGATTAAGTAAATTATCAAGCGAGACAATCTTTTATCTCTAAGAGAGGAGAAAGATAAGGAGCAGAACGTAAAAGGAAGAAAGAACAAGAGAAGGAAGTAGGTGCGTGGGGAATTGTTACTTTTAATGAAGAAGTGTTTAAAGGAATGATCGATCTGCAGAATCCCGTTGTAATTGACCGTTGGGAAGCGATCGATCATGTCAGTCTAGCCGTGTAAGAATTAAATAAACGTGGGAAGATTTTTGCACTTGAAAAGAACCTGCGAAGAGGAAAGAGATGAGAAAGATCTCAACGATAAATGCGAAAGCATAAAGGAATCATTCATTCGTCTAATCTCTTGTCCGCGATCGATATCTTTAGTGATCGACAATTTCCCACGCAATGATCCTGATATCCACGAAGAAAAACAAGTTTACGAGAAGAAAAAGAAGATATTTATAATTAACTAGAATATAAAATATTAAAAGAAATAATTTAAATATAAAATTCTGAAAAGTTATTGAATTACTTGTGAACAAGATATGTGAACGAAGCAATTATCAGTACGTTGTTTGAATGAAAATCATACAATCGATTTGCTTGAACTCGACTATATAATCGCTAGAGTAGACAGCTATAAAGAGATTATTAGCTTATTGGGGTGGACACTCGCAATAATTTATACAAAAAGAAACTATGTGTAAGAGCTAATCCTATCTGGTAGTGAGCTAATCGGTTTGTTCGTTTCTGCTCGTATAATCGATATTAGCTCGCTGTATCGATATCACGCATGTTCAACGAGGATTAAATGAATTACTGTGGAATGAAGTATTGAATGTGCGGACGCGCAATAATTTATGTAACAGCAGTCTCGCATAAACTGTCGTTTTGTGGAGCAATCACTATCCTGAACGAAGATTACAGTTAACACGTACACACACGAGGAAGATTTAAATCGTTTAAAGCGAGAATGAAGTAAATCATCAATCAATCGAAAATAAGTCGCCGCCTTTTTTCTTCAAGAGCAACTTCTTGAAATACAATTTGACTAGTTGGTCCTGTTCATATTACTCTCAATCTAATATTTTCATAGAGCAGGATTCCTTCATGGAGAACGAGTAAATTCATCGTCGAAGAGATCAATTTACAAAAGGCATATTTACATACATAATAGTAATATTTTACTGTACTCTGTGAAAATCCATAATAAGAATTGCAATCGAAGAATATAATGGCAAAAGACTCGTCAAGAATATACCATATCCTTTCATCAAGTATCGAGATATAAAGTAGAAAAGCATAGATTTCATACAAAAAAAGACCAAGTGAACAAATCGATTACAAAATTGAAGCGCAAGAACAAATGAACTCTCACCCGTGATAATCACAGGAGGAAGAAGACCGACAGATCCCGAGGAAACGTTCGAGCTTCTTACGGGGTTAATATGTGCTTGGGACGAGTCGGAAGTCGTCGGGGTAGCGACACTTCCGGCGGCAGGAGCAACAAGAAAGACTGCATCATCATCATTCGAGGTCCTTCTAACCGGGGAGGCGCACCCGCGAAGATGGGTATGCTGCTGCCCGACGAAACCTACGAGGCGAGATCCACCAACGTCCTGATCGCGGACGTGGACGAAATCGAGGCTGCCAAAGCGTTAGCGGCGCTTCGCAGGTGCGACGAGTTCCTCAAGAGGCACGGCATCCGGCCCGAGTTCTTCTGTAGGCATCGAGAGCGTCTAGCTCTTCAAGCGTGGCTGCTGAAGAAGTCCAACCTCTATTCTGGTGAGTGATCCAAAGTATCTTTACTCACATAGAAATTAAGAAAATGTAGAAAATTAAGGAAATTAGAAGGAAATTAGGAAATTTAATAAACTAAGTTTTTGATGTATTATACACAAAAACAATCTGTAGAAATGTAAAAATGTTAACTGGTTTATTTCTGGCATAAATCAATAATTACTTCTGAGCGGAGAAAAATTGCTCAATATCTTTGGAAAATCGATATGTAAAATACATATTAATTTCTCATACTATTAGAAAATTTATAATATAAGAAATTAAGTTTCTTTATACACCAATCGATTTTCCAGCATTTAGCCTGCGATACGTTGGAAAGTTGATCAATTATAGTTCAATTATCCGAATAATCCAACTCTCTTTCTTTACCAAGAATATATTTGTTTTATTTAATATTGGATTTTTACACATACACACACAACCATAAGTCTTCACGATAAGAATTTGTTTACTATTTTCCTTCTCAAAGAAAAGGCAGAGAGACAGTAATTTATCTTAAAATCTTGATTTGTGACATTGAAAATTTTGTTTTCATAATTGCATAATTCTTCGATTTGTGCGATTTTTTCATTGACACATTCGGAATTATTAAGAGATCATCAGAATCAGTGTTCCACCGAGATTAACAATGATATGGCGATATCTTGGAAAGTTGTGAAACGGAACCGCTTGCGCCTCACTTTCGCAGATTGTTTCGTCTGTTTCGTTTGTTTACACGCGCGGGATAACTCTCGCCGCCACCGACACCGCCGCCGCCGCCACCTCTCTTTCTCCCGGAGCGCAACTTTCTTCATGCAAGTTGCTCCATTTCTCTTCTACAAATCGTATTGCGGAGTGTCTCGGGCATTACGTATACATACAGGGATACGAGCTGCCGGGTCGCGCGCTTGCTGCCATTCTTTGCACTCGCGCTCCGATAAAGGATGCAGCCCGCGAGCATTGCGACCGATCCGAAGGATGAAGGAGGATATACAGTATCCTCCAAAAGTACTCGTCGTCTTTCCAACAGCGATCAGTTACATACATCACTGAATATTTTAAGCATATTGATAGAGAACTGAATTTTTCACACCCAGGATAGGATTTCTGAAGAAATATTTGAAATCATTCTTTTCTGGCATAAATTAGCGTATTTATTCCAGGCCAAATTATTTAACATCTTTGAAAAACTAATATGCGAGAGATACTTGAATTTTACTTTAATAAAAAATTAGAAATTAATTAATATAACATATCTTATAAATAGATTTTATAGATTATAGTATAATGATCAAGTAAAATTTAAAGAACCGAATGGGAGGACTTTTGTGGTCCTCCAACGTCAAGATGAACAGGCTACACTAACCATCTGGCTTAAAATATTGAATAACTACGTTTGTTCACTATTTGGTAAGTTACTAGTGGAAACATAGAGAACACGCATTCACACATTTCTAGAAAGAGACTAAAAAATACTTCTTATGTTCTAAAATTGTATGGCACTGTACACTTGAGAGAAGGCCGTACCGGACGTTAGTATCTACCTCAGCTATCATCGAGGGTAGACAGCCGCGAGAGTCCACGGATCGAGCTAGGGTGATCTAGGAGTGATCGCTGAATAAGTTCTTTTCAGACGATTGAAATACATTCTGAATGCACGACATATGCGCGAGTCAGTCGGCACATATGCAGATGCAACGAGATATGCGCTTAGTTCTGCGGCCAGACCTGGCAGATACCTCACGATCGCAATAAATCAGCGCGCAACCTAATTAACCGACGGATCCGGACTATAATAGGGTTCATTATCACCAAGTCACTGCTAATTATGTGAATGTGCCACCAAGTCTGTCTTCACGCCAACAGTTGGTCCGATCCAAATTTGTCCGGTGCGATATCCGCAGGCCGTGTGTTCCTTAACAAAATAGCCGGGCAAGAAAGATTGAAGCTATAAACTCTGACAGTTCTTGGAAGTCTGAAAGATACTCTCAAAGTCTTCTTATGTTCTTTAATACGTACAACGAATTTCTTCTCATCTATTTATTCATATTATTACACAAAATTTTCTCTGTATTTAGAAATATAAATGTTGTAAAACTGATCACGCATAGGAAAATAATTTGATCGGATTAATCAAATATTTGGTGAAATATAAACGAACCAGAATTCCAACTGAAGTTATTAGAATTTTGCTCAAGTTAACAAGATTTCTGATTAACCAGAACCAACTGTTGTTCCAACTGTTTGTTGGAAACATTTTTTCCGTGCACAACAAGCAATAAAATAAACTATTATTATCCTAAATGATATTTAACATTTTTTTATCGTCCTTTATCGTTTAGCCGCTTGTCAAAATGGGTATCAATCATAGGATAATGTTTGCATCAATATAATTCCTCAGACTGATAATTCCTAGGTGTGTAGTACTAGTATTATAAAAAGTGTCTGTATTAAAATCATGAAATTGATTTCTTATCTCTTCTCGCAGTTTTAAGTTCAAATGCGAGTCAGTGATAGTCAACAGCTAAGTTCAGTCATTATACTTTACGAAGAGAAGGATAAAGGAGTTTTACGTACCATTTTAATTACGACGAGGAGTTCTTCGTTTCCGGTGGTGGTTTACGACCTTCCGCTATCGCAAGAAGAAAACGAAAACACCACGCCGATAATAACGTCGAGATTAATTAAAAACAGTACAACTATCACGGGCTTTATGATTATTATTTAATTTTACCGAAAAAAATATTAAATTTATTATTTATTAAATTTATGTTATACTAAATGTATAATTCCGCAAAGGTCTATCCTTTAATTTTCGTAAAATTTAATTAAATTTTTCCTCAAAATACTTCCAAGTGAATATACCTAAATAGTTTTTTTACGCAAGTAAAAATTGAGATAAATTGAATTCTTCCTCTTTGCGCGTTGAGTGTTTGCTAATCTCTATAAAACATCCATTTTAGTACGTGGTAGAATTTTCATAAATTTAGAAAGACGAAAGAGGAAAGGCGAGAGTAACAACTATGAAAGATAGGCGTTTACGTTTTTGTGTTTACGTCTGCAAGCCACAAACCATTGATATCATTATTATGAAGGACAAAAACTGGAAACACTTCAATCCTAAATACATGTTCGTGTATTTGATGTAGTTACTCTGTTCCCAATCGCTCAGAGATAAACTTACAGAGCCAATATACACAGAATGAGCAATCATATAAATTTAAATTTGATAACTCGTACGAGTATCTGGATAGTCCGGTGTACAGATATATTTACAACAATAAAATATATACGAATCTGAAACTTAATTTAGCCGGAAAACTCTTGGTAATATATAAGTACCAAAAGAATTCAATTTAGAACTCGTTAATTTAAGCAGATTATTTATTTCCCTTTTTCTTTACACGCGATTGATCCAGAGAATGCCTTGCTTTATTTCAATCAGAAATCAATTTGCCAGGATGTCAATACGATTTCGACAGAACGCACGCAACTGATAAAGAGCATTACAATTTCGGCCTAATTACGCTGGCTTCCCATACAATCTACAGAGATGTGGGCGACGGGGATGGGGGTGGTGGATGGAAATTTTATCGGAATTTATTAGCCGCGGGGAATCGACTGGGGGCTCGTAATGACCGAGGCATTACTAATGGGGCGAAGAGGAGGAAGGGGGCAAAAAAGGGCGGAGTTGCCTGCCAACGTAACAACGCCGCTGATGCAAAAGCGAACAAAATGCCGTCAGGTGTTGCCCCCATAAATCACTACGTACGTACGTACCACCTTCCTTTCGGTCTTCGTCGCGCCGCTCCGATGCATTCGATAAATAAAACATGCGGCGCGAAAAGGTCCGCAAGGTGTATCGATTGGTACTACCAGATAAACGTTGTATAATGCTACATATTATTTTTATTTCGGAAAAGATACGTCTTCCCTCGTGAAAAAAAGGCACGCCGACTTACTTCCTCGCGAAGCCGATGTCGCTTCCTCGGTGTCCGGAACTTTCCATCGTTGGTTTGCAGCGGTTTCATCCTCATTTTCCTTAACAATAACGCCATGACGTCGGAAGCTCTCGCTTCGTAGCGAGAATCTATAAGCAGATTAGCGCGAGATATATCGATCTCCAGCATCGTACATGGACATTACATCAATGTCGCGTATTGTTTAGCTGGAAAACGTGCTTTCTCTCTGGAACGAAGGTCTGCACGGAGGTATCCTCCGTTTCCGCGGATCTCTTCCGTAGAATCTCCTGTCTCCGGTGCTTAGGACGTAAGTACGTCCTAATCACTCGCGGCGATCGCGTGAGACGAGAGAATGCCGCGAGACTTTGACACCGCATTAATTACTGGTCGCTAACAATGGCGCAATAATTAACAATTACGCGGTTTGATAATTATATAGCGCCGGGCTGAGTTACTGCGCGGTCGTCTGTGTGCACGAGTATGCGTGATTTCGCGGCATCTGTCATCGTAGATAGTATGAAAGATGACAAGTGGATCCTCGAATTCGAGAAGCGGATGCTAACGTGTCGTCAGTTAGTTTCGGCTATATATTGTCGGTGCAGATTGCGAAGGGATAGTAATTACTTTAATTGCTTATGGGAATGGTATACATCTTGAAACACACTTCGTATAGGATATATGCTTACCTCAATATTGTATTATTAGACACGAAAATTCGAGAAAAATTAAAGTGAAATTAATACGGCGTCGTGTGCGTGGTACGTTTTCGTCCGAGATTTAAAGCTACTAAAATGCATGGATCTATCGATCACAGGTGGCAGGCATTCAGCTCTTCCGGGTCTGGTATCTTAAGTCCGCCAATTTAACTTCGTCTATGAAACCGGCGTGCCTTCTTTTTGCCGGGAGGATAGCAGGCTTGCAAAAACCTCGTCGGGCCCTGATGCAAATTTATGTTAACAGCGCCGGCGAGTGTCTCTCTCGTATATTTACAACTCCATCGCGAATAGAAAGCGCAATGGTGTTGTTGGCCGGCCCGGCCTGGCG